AAAAGGGGGGGGGGGGGAGCCGCGCCCACGGCTATCAACTTATAGGAGGTGCCGGCCAAACCCATTTTTTTTTTTGCTGATTGACACACGTTCGTACTACAGCCAATCATAAGGCTTTCAGAATCTATCAGTCATAACCAAGTCTGTAATGTACTTGGCATAATATTACTTTGAGTATGCTAATGCATTATTATCAGTGGTAAGTGGTGGATACAGGTGGTGGCAGAAGTGCTTTACCTTCAACCTCCCCCCCCCCCAGCAGCCAAAAATAACTCCAAGGGGAATATCTCCCTGAAGCCCTACAATGGGAAAGGAAACACCCTAAACACTTCCTCTCAGACAATAGGTTCCGCTCCTCTATGACCTTCTACTGTCACTTGCAATGCCATAGCCAACTATTGGGACAGTCCCACACACTTTTTCTAATGGGTCCGCAAAGAATGGGTCCACTTTTTTTAAATGGGTCCAAATTATGCAGTTTTATGCATAAAATGCGTCTACTTTTTTTTTAAAATGGGTCCAGATTTCTTATATTTAGCCTAAAATGGGTAAAATTTTAAGAAAATGGGTAAAAATTTTTCAAATTTTTGCATAAAATCGGTTAACTTTTAAGAAAATGGATCCACATTTATTGAATTTACACGTAAAGTGGGTCCACCCTGATATTTTCCCGCACTATTTTTTAAAATCCTGGCTACGACATTGGTCACTTGCATCTCCCAGTCCTACAGAAGTGTTAATACTTCTTTGGCTTTGCTTATAGTGTTCTCTCCTGCAATGGAATTAGGCTCACTCATTCATTTATTTTCATTGTTTTTCATTTAATAACATTTAAGCAGGTGCAACAAACACAATTCTAATCAACTCCAGTGGTTTGTGGAATGGCGATTTTGATTTTAGTAACTTTTGAACTGTACCATGACCACTATATTACAGTTGATTATATTGTATTAGTCAAGTAAACAGACAAGTTAGAGTGAAAATGAAGGTCTGAAATGTTCAATCTAAAATAAATATAAATACAAAAGAGGACAAAAATGTAGGAGAAATTATTCTATCATTGATTTTACAAGTTAAGCCGGGCACTCACTGAGCGCGGCGGTCATCGGCTGACGTGTTTCTCTGCAGAAGGCAATGCGATGACGCGCGTACAACTGATCGTTTTTAATGATGATCTGTTCAGACTGCCACCAACAATTAGTAAACAGCGTTGCATCGTGTAGCGCTCACAGGGAGCCGGGCAACGGTCGTCGTACGATGCAGTGAATGCCCAGCATTGAGGTTACTGGCCTGCTAACCTTTAAAATGTATTGTACACTGTTATATGATGCGATACGATAAAAATTTATTGTCTCAATGGTACAGAATACAGGTATGAGATGTGGTTCCTTAAAATACACTCATATTATTAGTAGAATAATATAGAAAACAACTAAATACATACAAGTTGCACACAAATTTTGGAAAATACGAAATACTCAAAAATCGAAACTGTCAATCAATATCTAATTATTGCAAGGATTACAGAGTTGTAAAGATATTATTTCTAAACGGAATTATTTGCTCTCAAATGGGTAAACCGTCTCACCCTTGGTGATTTGTAAGCAGATAAAATACCATTTAAATACACAAGAAGAGCGACAATTTTGTTAAAATTGCTCTGAAAAGTGTTAAACTATTAAATCTTCTTAGATTAGGAATGCATTAGTAAGTAGAGGAGTGAAAATGACACAAAAGCATCTGTTTAATAAGCATTAACAATCGAATGGTTGTATAGTTGTTTTTTTTTTAACCTTTCAAGCTTTTTATGTGACTTACTTAATTTAGATCAGACAAAATAATAATATAAAATCACCCTCAGTTGAATTAGGTATAATACCGCTAAAGAATAGAGTAAGAAACTTTAACCTACTCATTTCAAATCAGAGAAATCAATAGAATAGTTTGACCCTTATTTGGAGGTCAAAAACACCTAATATAGCATGGAATATGGAGGTATGAATTTGCCATTGCTGATTAATAAACATTTAAGGTTAATGATAAATACAGTGTTAGCTTGATTAACATATCAGGTGGACTTAAATGAAAAAAAACATGGTAAAGTATACATCTAAATATGGAAGCAACAGATATTGGTTCCTATTGGAAAGTGCTTATCAAGGACTGCACGCATAAGGAGGAAGTAAATGGAAAAGCAACAAGAAGCTGGTAATGACGGAGTTGAAGCTGTGAATACAAGTCAAGTCTGGAACATTTGATTTGAACTGTAAAGAATTGTTTACACCGAGTTCAGTTTATAGAAACGATGACGGACCCGGAGATGTCAAAAGTTGTGGTAGTAGGCTGCAGCAGATTGCAATCTCTATAAATGTCCACGTCCATAAAAGGCAAGATGCAAGAAAGAAATGCATACGTGTAATGAGAAAGAAATTCTTAAGTGCTGTTTAAATGTAACAAGTGCAAGAAACAAGGTTTATTAAAATTTGTGCATAATTTAAAATCAAAATCAAATTAGGTTGTCAAGAACAGATATGATGTTTTAAATATTTCATTGCTTTAAAGGTCCCCTACCAAATCTTCACTGAAACGATCCACAACTTTTGCTGTTTCAAAGTTAAGTCTAGCGAGAAACAAAAACATGAAAACCATCTAATGATTCTAAAAGTATTGTAAATATATTCGAAATGTAATTTAATATAATAACAATAAAATAAAGGACTAAAACCAATTTAGTTTGCTTCCACCCAACAAATCAAATCTTTTAGGGGAAAAAACATATTTTCTATTAACTTTGCACAAGACTAATGTAGTAAAATTTATTCCAATTGGTATGCTGTCCCTTTATCTATCTTTTCTTTTGACAGGATATCATTTTCAGCAACAGTTTTGTCATATGGTCAAGTATTTCTTCATTTGCTTATCCTTTGATATGCGACAGACATCACCAAGATGCAGGATTAATCCCTGTGGTATTAAAATACAAATTGTGACCCAAGGTCTGATCATAAAAGGGCTGTAAACTCTTCCTCAGGCAAAAATAAGTTTGTGTTATGATGGAATAGTACATATCATTTACTTTAAAATGACAGTTAAAGAAACTCAATCGGGTGTCTGGAAGTAAAGTTATGACCGTTTTAATAATTACCATCTTAACAATTTTTTAAAATCAAGTTGTGAGAAAAATGCCTTTATTTTCGGCAGGTTTCTATTCATTCTTCACAAACTCCCTTTCGAAAATGGCTAAATTTTACCTTTTACAGTTGTAATTTTAAACTCAATCTTCAGGAATAGTAAGATTAATAGTTCACACAAAATTCACATTCTGCGGCCTATTCTGGCTATTGAGGCTTGTCTTTCAATACAGCTTGGTGCGAGTTTAAAGCCCTTTTATGATCTTGGGTTACAATTTTGTTGATCTGGAAAAGTAAACTTATTACGCGTACCTTTCCTGTACAACTTTACACAAGGGCAAACAATTTTTTAATATCCATAAAATGTTGACATCAAATAATTTAGTATGCCTATACAGTGCTTCATATACAATAGTATTACTGTAATGCTTGCGGTACACCACATAGCTAGTTTTGTTAAAAGTGCCTTGACTTGATTGACTTGCTTTATTCTGCGGATGACAACTGAAGACACTAAATCAATATGTCAAGACTATTATTCTCCTGATAGAAAACAAAAGTTATGTGACTTACATTTGATCAAGCTCAGTGTCATTCATTGGTAAAGAGATCTTTGTACTATTGGTGTTTGCTTTCATCAGCTCTGTTAGATCATGAATCTGTAAATTAATGTCATATCAATGAGTTTTCACTGGTAGGTACTCGTGCACCAAAATACCGCCAACAATCAAATATGCGCCGCTCTTTAATAAACGCCTCTCCCTAAAAAAGCGCCACTCTTAAATAAGCATCAAACATGATATATTTGGGTCACTCTACTTATTAAATATATATTATTTTGAGACGAAATTACAGCACTTAATTGAGTACATTTTAACCAATGTGCGTTGACTTCCATAAACAAACTATTTCTCACACATTGCATCATGCTAACTTTGCAACAAATCAGGTAGGTAGTAAATTTACAACACATGGTACTAGTTGAGGGGCGGATTTAGGGGGGGGGGCTCCCCTTTTGGGAGGTAAAAAAAAAGAAAAAAACAAAGAAAAAGAAAAAAATGATAGCCCACAACGCCTCAAATGTTATTTTTGGGCGTCTAGACCCCCTAGGTCATTGTTGTCTCGATCGGCCCAAATTTCGGTCCCCCCTTTTGGACATCTCTGGATCCGCCCCTGTAGTTAGCCCTTCCATTAATTTGTAGTAAGTGCGCCACTCTCAAATATGAGCTTCACTGGGATAAGCGCCACATTCAAATATGTTTTATAGGTGCCACAGTCCCATTTCATTTCATTTATTTCGTCCAAAGAACATTACAATTGACAAACACAAAATGACAGAGAGCTAAAAAACAACACTCAGTTGGCCGGACAGGATTGCCAAAAAGTGAACTGAATCACTGTCTAGTGACTCTCTGATGCCAATGAGAACATAAATTAAATTAGCATAAAATATTCAAGTAAAATAGGCCTATCAATAAAATTTATAGTTAAAAACATAAATGTACAAGATCATCAAAAAATCGGTCAATAGTTAAAAAGATAAAAACTTTAAAAAATACAATAAAAATTGAAATAGAAGAACTGCAGTGAAAAACTAAAGTTAAAACGCTCAATTTACAAGGTAAAATGCAAGATGAAATATTAAAACAGAATTATGTGAATAAATTTAAGATGGTCAGTGTGTCTAGTATTAAAATGGATAAAACCTGGTCAAGGAATTGAGTATAAATTTTAAAGACATTTTGCAACAAAAGCCATGAAAGTAGATATATTCAAAACAGTTTTCAACAGATATTAGACTGTGATAACAAGACGTTATCTGTATGGGATATGATATGACTGCTTCAAGAGAAGCAATATGACCTCTCTGATGGGCAGACCAAACAGGTACACCATATTCAGTTATAGGACGAACAAACCATTTTACAATTTTGGTATGATAAATGGTTAACGGTAGCAGACTAGTCTGAGAATAAAGCCAAGTATCTAGAGGCTTTGGATTTAGTGTTTGAAACGTGCAATCCCCAATCAAGGTTTGAGGTAAAAGTTACACCAAGATATTTATAACGGGTTACGTTTGTAAGGTATGTTTGTCCAATTTGGTATTCATGAGGGGAGTTAGCAAGTCTCAGTATTTGACCTGGTGATTCTCACTGTTTTGCATTTAGTGGAGTTAAATTCCATTTTGTTCATCAATCTCCAGTTATAAATAATATCCAGGTCTTGCTGCAGTATTGCATTACCATTATGTTTCTTATATTTCTATATATATAACAGTGTCCTCTCCATATTGGTAAATAGAGGAAGAAACAACCTCTGGCAAGCCAAGAACAAATAAATTAAATAAGGTAGACAGAGCCCTGGGGCATGCCTGAAAGAACAGGACAAGACCGAGAAGACTTCGCCTCCAAAATCTACATTTTGAGACTTGTTGCTTAGATAGAACATAAACCAGCGTAGTACAGAACCACAGAGGCCATAATTGTGCATTTTCTTTAACATTATAGAGTGACTAATCATGCCAAAAGCTTTACTCCAATCTAGAAAGATAACGTCGATGGTAGGAGGACTACATTCATCTAACACTTTTGCCCACTCATAATGTGCAATGGCTAACAAGGTGGTGCAAAATCTACCCTTTACAAATCCATGTTGAAAAGGGGATTGTCTCCTATGAATCACAGGGCTCTCCAAAAAAGGTTGCAGCACACTAGGCAACGAAGTAAAATTCACCCAGGAGGTAACGCATCTCTCAAAAATTCATGAAGTATGCAATTTAAAAAAAAAACTAATGTATTTATTATTCATTGCCTCTAAAGTCGGCAGGCCATGGGTATCACTATGTGCAGCAATTCAGATAGTATCAACACGGAAAAAAAAAATTATTATTATTAGTAATGAATAATAATACCAAAGAATATAAATAGAACAAGAGAGCGTACTTTGTTTGTAAGAATGTCACGCCTGCGTAGGACGCTCGCTGACGGATGTATGTTCACCTGCATTCATTTGTGTACTGAAGTACGCACAAAAAACCAAGTCATCCAAAAAAAAATATTCTGGACTTTCAAAAATATTTTTAAAGAACACAAATGCAAACAAAAACATTTTTTTTAAAATAATTTGTGATTGTGTGAGTAATGCAGGAGGGTAATCTAATGTGTGGGCCTATTATGGTAAAAATATATTTAAAGCTTCCAACTTTTTGAAGAGTCTGGCACATACCTTAGAGTCTAATGCACTTTTCAACAGGTAATTATTCCTTAGTTCACATTCTCTCTCGATCTCTGTAAAGCCAGTCTGTAATTGAAATAGGAAAACATTTTGATTAGGGGATTAAAGCACTCACTCAAATCACAAGATGAACAAAGGGCAGAGAATCAGGTTTTATGTGAAAAATATTGGCATGATGATTCTTAAAGCTGGCACTCTCCCCCTTAGATTTTTCCACTAGGACAGATATGCAATAACAATAATATAAAGATAATGCTGAAAAAATGGATATATTTGTATAAGGTCACATTCATAAAAAAAAAAGAAAATAATAATAATAATTCACTTGAATTGTTTTACTTTATTTCATTTCAAATATTTTTTGGAAAATATGGTTAATAAGAGGCAGGTCGAATAATTAGGAGGAGGAGACAACACTAAAACAAGTATATTTTTTTCTATTTAGTCTAAATCACATCAAAACTTTAGTACAGTATGTAGAAACAGATCCTGACAAGATATTTAATTATAGATAATACATTTTTGAGATAACATTTCAATCAATCAATCAACTTTGTTTCAAAGTTGACAAATTCATATTTACAATCAACTGAATTTGGGTCATATGACAAATGATACTCGGGCCATCTCGGGCTAAGGAGGATTTTATTTTGAGACTGTAAATATATAAAATAATAATTAGGTATAAATACTTAGTATTATATAAAAACATATAATCAATCGTACATATTCATTGAAAACACCACAATCATTACTAAGGAAATAATTTATTAATTCAATATAAAAAATAATTAAATATTATATTCAATTATATTGCATTTGTGGATTTATTTCATTAATTACGGTAACACTTGTTCACCTCAGTTGTATTTTTTGACAAGGCCGTAATATAAAGACATTGTAAATAATAAGAAATAGAAATAATAATAAATAATATGAAATGAGTCTCTTTGATGCATAGAGTATATGAAGATTGATGTTAATGTAAAATTACACTACAGTTACAGGATGTCCCATGGCACATGATTTCCCTGTTCTGCTTTTTCTAACCATAATATTTACATCCAAACATTGGCTCCCATATGACAATGCAACAGTACAATAGGAGTCTGCAGTACTGACATTTATGTAGCAATGCCTCAGGGTCATTGGGCCGACAATATTATATCTCAATCACGTCTCGGCTGTGAAACAAAAAAATGGATTCAAAAATTGGTTTGAGCATATGGCGGTGTGATCACTATTTTTAGCTGGTGAATCTAGCAAATGCTTTTACTAATGTAGACATTTTTTAAATCGTCAAATAAATATTATAATTTTTACTCACTTTATCATGTATATAAATACATACAGATGATGTTACTTTAATTCAGTACTTAGACTGTCTCTTATACACATCTAGATGTGTATAAGAGACAGGGTGAGAGTAGATCGGCCAACAGTGTAAAGTTCACGAATTCAAGGGACCACAGAAATAGTACGTCCTTCCGTTCAATGTTTACATCTGACTCTAGCTACACATTTGTGTGTTTCATTGACTGTATAGACTATCCAAATGATTAGCATTTATGGACATATATAGTCAATTTTATAGCTCCATGTTAGTACCTAATATATAAAATAACATCAATCTATATTAATAATTTTTAAAAAATCAAAAAAATTAACCTATTTAGTTTGATAAATTTCGGATTGTTGATTCAGTGGTGGCGCCGTGGAAGGGGGCTGAGGGGACTATAGGCCCGGCCCTGTCAGTGAGAGATAGCCCCTTCCCTGTCGGGGAAGCATAGCCTCTCCCTGTCGGGGAAGACAAGTAAATTTTGTCGGGGAATAAACCAATAAAAACAAAATATTTACATGTAATATTAGTTTAACCACCATATTGTTTTCATTGAACTATTTGTGTTAACTTTCCATCACAATAATAATAATAATAATAGTAATAATAATAATGATAATAATAATAATAATAATAATAATAATAACAATAATAATAGTAGTAGTAGTAGTAATAGATTAACGAGACTAAATAAAAATGACTTGCGTTCTGTTATGACAAATGCTCGTTTGGATAGCCTCATGATATTTGGAATACATCATGATTAGGGGAAGCAACCTCAACCTTGACAGCGTGGTTGACAAATTTCATGCAAAATTTCCCTTTGAAGAATGAGGATTGAAAATATATCATTACATTGCATACTCTTTGTTTCTTGTTTTATGATTTTTTTTCCATTTATTTATTTAGTTATTTATTTGTCTGTAGGCATACTTGTTGTGAACAGCCTAAAACCCATAGTTTTTATCAGAAATTCGTCAAACTTGGCCAAAATATTCCTTTACCTAAGATCTAGAACTGATTAAATTTTGAAGGGTCAGGGTCAAATGTCAAGGTCATAGAGGTTTCTAGCATTCTGCACTAGATAAAAATAAATTATTATTAGTATTATTTTATTTAAAACAATATTTAGTTGAAATGTCAATAAGAGACCAGTCTGAAGACAGGAGAGATCATTGTTTTTTATGAAACATTTTCATTGTGAGGTGCCCCTATTCCCCATTTCCTCTACTGCATTCCCCAGCTAGAATTAAAAGGACACACAAGGTGAAAACATTATATGGTTCAGGAAAAGTAGCTCAGTTTCTGGATAATTCTCTAAAGAATAATAAATCAATTGGCCTAAAAATCTGCTTGTTCGGTCATAATAAGAACAAAACAAGAACAAGAAGTTACCAAACAGAACACTAGACAAAAATAAAAGGCCAAAAATGTATGTATTCTATTAGTCTAGGAAAAAAATCTGAAAAAAATGATGTCATGAGGAGTGGAATGTTAGAAGCAGTCATTCCTCATAAAGTGATTTCTAGGCCTCTTTTCAGATTTTTCCTAGATATAGATAGAAACCTTTCTTTATTCTAGATACTCCAATATGACATTGTTCTTCCTTTAGGTCCAGTTAAAACATGTTTAAAATATGATATAATATGAAGAAATTATATTTAAAAAACTAATGAAAATTGGTAAGCACAAGAAGCAAGAAAAAAAAGTTTTATATTAATTCAAATCAAATTTTGGAAGGAATGCACTGTGAGTATCTATTAATATTAAGATATCTTATTGAGATATTGAGATACCTTAGTTTTATCTATTTAAAACTAAGATACCTCTATTTAAAATTAAGATATCTCTATTAATAGAGATATCTATATATTAATTCTGCTAATTGTCCCCGCGTAACTTCGCTTATCTCCTCTGAAACCGCTGGCAGGAATATGCTCATATCTCATACACAGGGGCTTCTATGTCACAACGACATTCAGCTACTTTTTAAGGCTGGATATTGGATAACAACGAGAAAAACAGCCAAAAACCATCGAAAATCAGTACCTGTTTCACCATGTTTCGCAAGTTGCTTACGTCACATAAATACAATTAATCACATCTATTCTGTACTACAATCCTTAGGTCTAAAAATTATCAAGTCAGGCCATAAAAGAACCAGTCTATGTTTCGCAGCTTCATTACGTCACCGCCCCTCTCACGTTCGTCAACAAAATGGGTAACAAGCATGTTCCCGTACCTCTTTGGAGTACCCATTGCATTATACTGGATATATTGTAGTTTTATGGCACAAAACATCAGCAATAAATGCATTAGAAGTCGATCAGGTAAAAATAAAGATACACCTGGGCACAAAGCCATGATATGACCAATACTTGGTCCTTTATTATTTTTAAATTATATTAACGATCTCCCAAATTGTTCATCATTATTAGGTTTTGTTCTGTTTGCTGATGACACCAATCTTTTCTATTCAAACAAAAACTTATCAGAACTTTTTAAAACACTGAATTAAGCAAGGTATCCAACTGGTTTAAATTAAATAAATTATCTCTGAACATTAATAAAACTAATTTTATTCTTTTTAATCACAAAACAAAACAAGACCATAATCATGTTTTAAAAATAGATAATAATATTTTTAACCAAGTCAGTGAAACAAAATTTCTCGGTGTAACATTAGATTCCAAGCTTTCCTGGCAACCTCATCGTAACAAAATTTTAAATATTATTTCTAGAAATATTGGTGTCATGAATAAGTTAAAAAATGATTTTCCCCCACATATACTCTTATCATTATACAATACCTTAGTCCTAGCCTATATTAACTACTGCAATCTCTCGTGGGCCACCACAGTTGATAAACATACACACCTATGGCCCTGGACAAGTCTTGAGACCACTAGTATTTATAGCATTTTTAAATTACAAAAACGTGCACTTAGGAGTTGTTCAGGGTCAAGTCGCACTACATACACTAAACCTTTATTTTATAAATATAATACACTTAATATATTTGATCTAAACAAACTACAAACCTATAATTTTATGTATCGATTTATAAGTAATACACTCCCAATTCATATTACCCTATTATTAACAACCCAACAGTCTGAAATTCATAACTATCCAACCAAGTTTTCAAAAAACAATATTTCATCAGAAAAATGTATATCTTCTCTCAGAAAAAATCAGTATTTTATAATGGACCTAAGTTATGGAATTACCTCGACCCCTTTTAAATCTCTACCCCTTGTAAATCTCTACCCCTTGTAAATCTCTACCCAGTTTTTCTTCTAAAGTTTTTTTAAACTTATTGTAGTCTCCATCCACATAGATTTTTTTAAATATGTTTGATCATGTATATGTTTTATTTATGTACGGAATATGTTTTTTTGTTGTTGTTCATTATGTGGAAAATAAATAAATCAATCAATCAATGATATAACCTCGGTCTAACCATACCGGCTATAGGCACAGTTGTAGGCTCTGGCCCAGGCTCTCAATTGGTCAAGACAAACACTTCTCCGGGGCTAGGCCTACTGTATATTTCTGTATTTTCACTTACAAGAGGGTAGCCCAAAGCAACAGGGGAAGATCCAGTAGGGGACGTCACTGGGAAGGGCTCCTGCCCGTTTTGAAACTAATTTTTTAAAAACAATTATTCTGAAAATGTTGTGTGGGTGCCAGGTACTCACTTTTACTCCGAGGTCAAGAAAGACAACGTGGAGAAAGTGCCTTGCTCAGGGACACAAATGACTTGCACAGCAAGGGTTTTGACCCTCCAACTTTAAGGTTAAGAGTTTGAGCGACGACAGTTGTGCCAAATGCTTTATAAAATGTTTTTTAAAAGGTTGAACAAATGACATTTTGAAAAATCATAAAAGTATTCTGTGTTCCTTCTTGGAAAAAAAAAAAATTGTAGAGAAAAGGTTTTTGTTAAGCCTAATAGTTTTCTTTTTTGTATTTCAGATTTAGTAATATTGCGAATTTAATCATGAACATTTCCAAACAACTTAACACAATAATATTGTGTATTGTGTTTATGATATAAAAATATATCAGCCAAGATGAAAATAAAAATATTGAACAATGCAGGAAAGGAAATGTTGAGCACATAATATTTCAGTTGCACAGGTCCCTCGACAATTCTCGTAAGGAATAATAAATCATCTCAGCCTGCATAAACGTCAGTGAACCTAAATATGCGTCATAACTTATAACGAGCAAAAAACACAGAATGCTGGATCTAAATACTAGAGCATACTAGAAATTGCAAATTGCAAGTGAAGTACAACTGCATATAAATGTTCTTCGAACAAAATTATTTATGCGAGTCAAGTGAAAATAATGAATAATAAAACTATAACAAATAA